TAGAGGAGATTTGAAAACAAAGCACTCACTTTTTTGGAAAGTAAGAGTCAAGGTGAATAAATGAACAATGAAGATATTTTTTATATATGTGTGTATATATCTATGTACGTACGTGTGTCTGTGTGTGTGTATATATACACACACACATTTTATATATATAAAAATATATATAAAATATTCCTTGTTTCTGAATATAGCATGTTTTCTTTGGCATACAAATATATAACTTGTAATATTCATTTTTCAATCTTTATATATATATATATATATATATATATATATACACACACATGTGTATAATATATTTAGATGCACACACTTTACAAATTTGAGAGGTTTTTGGAGCACCACAGATCCTGACCAAATTTTTTCCTTGGAAGCACCCCACTCCCTCCCCCACCCCAGCTGAGAGCTGCTATCTGTGACCTTGATCCATGACAGATGTTTGTCATCGAAGACAAGGTTGGTGAGGTAATATCTTTAATATCTGTTGGTGTTAATGAGCTCCTGGAAGGCACTCAGATATTACAATCATACAGATGATATAAGAACCTGCATCGGTCTTATCTACACAGGAAAATTTCTTACAAGTTACACTGGTATAGTTATACTGGTATAGTTGTACTTTGCACACTGTTATTCTGGAATGAGTGTTTGGGGTCTACACACACACACACACACACACCCCCACCCACCCACCCACCCCGCGGTTTGGCTTAAACTCCTTTCCCAGTGAGATCAGCTAAACTCAAAAACGCCTTCTTACCAAAAAACACTTGCCCATGTGGACAAGGGAATAGAATAGTTCCAGCACAGGGGTTCACTAAAATGGACCCTTGCATCCACTTAGAGTCCCATTGACTTAATTATAACTTAATTAGAACTTCACATGATCATAAGGGTCTGCCCTTGTACATCTTTTCACAGGTAAAGGATTAATGTTATCTTGATACGTGGCCAACATTAGTAGCATCAGAGGGCAGCAGGGGCACAACATAGCTTGAGACCCCCCAGAAAACATTCTTACTAGCCTTTTCTGAACACCAAATACTCTCAGCTGAGATTGGTAGAACCTCTTCTGCTCCATCTCAAATATTCCCCACCCAACTTTCACCTAGGGCTAGACTGGAAGGTGAAAGCCTCCTGCTCAAAAGAATATCATCTGGCTCATAAAATTCTGCCTCCGTTGTTGTTTTCCCAGAATGGTTTGTGTACAGAGTATGTGTATAAAAACAAATGGTACTGTATGTTGATGCAAACTTTCATTGGGTCTGTCTTGTACACTACATAATTTTGTGTAAACACAAATTTTTAATATAATGCAACAATTTAATCTTAAAGATACCTTTAAAGCAAAGCTCATGATCCCAATATTTGTGGCTTTCTTTGAAGCCCCCTCTCAAGCCATGTTCCCTAGACCCTCTGTTAGAAGTGACTTTTCTGAATTCTGCAGCTGTGGAGAGGATGGATACTTGTATAGGGGAACGTCAAAGTGTGTAGAAAGATGCAGGGGGCATGGCTGATATGTACTGTGTGGAGGGAAGATCAGGGGTTCAGATATGTTCTGTTTACAGGCAGAGCTGGGAGCACCCCTATTATAATGGAAGTGTTGGGCAACGTTAATAAGACTTTTTTCAATTGCTTATAATTTTGCTAAACTTCAACCATCTGGAGTGAAATTTTCAATTCCAAATATCTGCCTCAGGCTGAATATTGTTGGAAAATTTCTTCCAAATGGCTCTATTATTTCTGAGAAGAAGTCTAGGAAAAAAATACACTATGTTGCCTATTTTAAAAATTCTGTCAACCTTTTACTTGAAAAGCTTTAGCACCCCTATGCTTTGGAGCAGGAATTTGGCAGCCATTTTGTCAAGAATGTGCCATTTATTGTCCCCATGAATCTCTGCACCAGTTTGGCCAAGTTATAAGTCATTGGAAAATCACAGTTCAGTTCACATATGCTCAGAAAAAGGTTCTTAAATTCTAGTAGCTAAATTCCTCGAAGATTCAGTCTGCACTGAGCATGCACCCATTAAAGGCTACAGTGATCTATAATGCTAAGTATTCTGAAAAATGAGGTTCTAAGAATCTCAAATTGGGAACCCAAAATTACCACATATTTTGACCTTAATCTCTGTGCCTTAATTTCTTATTTAAAAAATGAGGATAATAATACCCCTTCATCTCATAGGAGTGTTTTGAAAATAAATTCATTAATATTTGAATAAATTATACAAAAAGGATGAGCACCATAGACAGACTCGTGAGGAAATTAACAATTCCAACATCAGAGTTGGGTTTGAATAGTGGGCAGTAAGTAAGATGTAGGGCCCCACATGGAACAAGGTGGATAAAACAAAATATTGAATAACTGTTTAAATAAGCACCATCCATTCTGCTCACTCAGTGAGGCAGGGGAAATAATACAGTTTCATGTAAAGAAAGACTGTATTTTAATTTAAAGGCACAAAGAGGTTGAAATAAGGTTGCCCAGTCAGCCTTAATTCTGGCATTTCCTAACTTTTCGGTGCTTGACTTTGCGACCTTATTAATGTTCTTTTAACACAGAGGAGGGGTTGTGTGTAATTCTGTATAAGTTCTTATATCATCCTCATCATCATTATCTGAGCACCTTCCAGTAGTACATTAAGTGAAGTAACTAACATCTTGTCACATGGGATTCATTCTGTCTCTCATCCTGGCCATGTCTACACTAGCACTGCTTCAATGGTATAGGAATACTGGTGTACTATACTGGCAAAGAGTTCCTAGTGTGGACACAGCTACATTGGCAAAGTTGTGCTTTCTCCTTGCATAATAAAAGCATCCCCACACAAGCATAACAAGCAATACTAGTAAAAGCTCAGTTTTGCCAATATAGCTGTGTCTACACTAGGGACTTCTGGTGCGATCCCTGACCAATACAACTCTGCTGCCTCTTCACACCCTGGACTGACATAGCTTTGCTGGCATCAGTCTGTAGTGTAGACCTAGACCAGACCTTGTATCCAGGGGGAGAACTGTGTGTATTGTGCAGGGGGTTCTTTTGGTAGGGTTTTGGGTTTCTTTTCTGTTTTTGTTTTTTATTTTTTAAATGTACACGCTGCTGTGAGTTTATATTGGGGAAGGAAGGGTAAAGAAATGTGCTTTGCACATGGAGCAGAAGATGGTGGGGTTTGTAATGGTCCTTAGTTCCTTTGTGAATTGTTCCTGACTCCTAGACCAGCCCCGAGAAGGTTCTGTTTCCTGCACCGATGCGCTTTACCCTATGGTAGAAAGCTCCCTAAGGGTTGTTAGATTCATGCTCACGTATGTTTTGTTGCTGTATTTCAGATGGGAGATGACAAAGGCATGCTTTGTTGAGGCATTATTCTGTAGTTAGATTGTGAGGGATCATGGGCCAGGATTGAAGTGGGTTTATCTTCAAGAAAAAAAAATCAAAGTAATCACAAGTTTATAGAGAAGGATTTGGTCAGTAATAAAGCTTAGAGCAATGGCTGAGGGTGCGGCAAGGATTTTTTTTCCCTCTTGTGTCCTTTCTCAGAGAGAAATGGAACAATTAAAATTCTGTATAAAATTAAGTATAATGGAGGGAAAACCTGTTAGACTACCAAATGTGCACAATCAACCTGAGTAACTGTGTGACCTTGTCACTCTGTCCTTCGTCCTCCCTTTCTCCCCACTCGTTATTTGTTCTGACTTGTTCTTTTATATTATATTTAGACTGCAAGCTCTTTGGGGCAGAGACTGTGTTCTTCTTCTTTGTGAAGCACATTTTGGGGTATTGTACGATAATAATTAGTAATATTAAAAAGCCGCTTCCATCACAAGCTCTCTCACACAATACCAATCACACTCCACTCATCCCTCCCTATGTCTTCTGTAAAAGCCAAGGAATATAGGTGTACCTTGCAATGTGTCCTAAAGCTCATCCAGCCCAGTTTCTGGTGAATCCAGGGAGGAAGCAGTATTTAATTAACTATATTTAGTATTCCAGGTAATATAAAACTGGACACATATTATTTGAATAAATTCATGAATGTGTATAGCTCACTCAGATAATTTTGTTTGTATAAATCTGGAGCTGGTCAGGAATTTGTCTGGAATGTATTCATTTTGACAAAAAGGTTTATCAGGTCCAGGATGGAATTTCTGATCAAAACCAGTGAGAGAGAGGGAGAGCCCAGAACAGCTAATAGCCTGGTGGTCAAGGCTCTCATCTGGGATGTGGGAGACCTAAGTTCAAATCTCGGGTGTGAATCCGGTCTCCCAGATCCCAGGTGCATGTCTTGACAGCTGGGTTATTGACTGTTCTGCTCATGCTCCATCTCACTGCTTGCTTGTGTGGCTGTTTGTCGTCCCAATGTGGAATGAGAGAATTTTCACAGGTTAGGAAAACCATTTCCTGCCCTGCTTTATCTGCATCGGACAACTGCCTATTTTTATTGTTACATTTTGCCAGTATACTTAAAAAAAAAAAAATGCACTGTATCATTTGTCTTTTCCATCCGTTTTATCTCTTCACTCCAGTTTTTTCTTCCTTTCCTATTATTTGTCTTATCTCTCTTCCTCCTCCATTTTCAGGGTGCCATTCCTTCAGTCTAATTTTTCTTTTCTCCCAGCTTCAATCCTGTTTTTCCCTGAGTTGCTCCTCTCTAATATTTTCCTTCTTTCCAAAAACCTTAAAACAAAGATATGATATATATGTTAAGACTGGTCATTTGTTCGTACTAATCTCCACTTTTTTTCTGAATGGTTAAGATTAATAAAAAGTCACTCTAGACATGCTTTAAGCGGTTTTTTTTTCTTGCTTGAATAAGAGACATATACTGAGACAGTTGTTTAAAGTGGGTGATGCAGGGAAAGAAAGGCTTGTATATGGGACCTGAGAATCATAAACATAGACAAACAGATGTAATGATAGACATAGTTTATGCTTAAGATTTCTTTCAACTCTATTGGTTTTGAAAATTAAATGGCAGTTTTTAATTCTGTTTCAGCAACAAGAACAAGATCCAACTAACTTATATATTTCCAATTTGCCGCTGTCGATGGACGAGCAGGAGCTTGAGAATATGCTTAAGCCATTTGGGCAAGTTATCTCTACAAGGATACTTCGTGATTCCAGTGGCACAAGTCGTGGTGTTGGCTTTGCAAGGTACTGTAGTTTGCTTATTCGATTTTTTCATTCTGTACTATGTAAACCATGTGTCCATCAATAGTGTTCATCATAAAAATGTCTTTTTCTAGCTATTGTCACTCAGGGTTCACCCAGAATAGGAGGAAGAAGAAGTGATTACAGAAAGCATACCATACTTTTAATTTGAATCCCTTTTTAATTAAGAGATGCAGCGGGACTTTGGTAATTTGTGCCTTGCTTAGCCAAATATGTCAGACTCTCAACTAAGATTTGGGGCTAATTTTGGCTTGCTCTGGGCACCAGTGCAGGGGTTCAAGCAGGAACAAGACTCCACTTTTCACTTCTGCAGGGGTCTCCTTGCACAGCTATTGCTCCTACCTCCCCCACACCCAAGTAAGTGGGCAGGAAGTATGTGGAGCCTTCTCAACCACCCCTAATGATAGCCAACATCCATGGAAGGATTTGGGCTGAAATCCTCTCATCACAGACCCTCCTTTCCAGTCATCCAAGCCCTTCCATTAGGAAAACTTATAACAGTGCCTCAGGCTGATAATCAGACCTCTACTTCTGCTAAATAGGACCTCTTCAAGTGCAAAGGGAAATTCTCCCTGTTAAGTACTGTATGAGCAGAACCCCACCCTGGCCTCTATAATCCAGTTTTTGAGGCTAGGTTTCCTGATGGAGGAGATGTGGGAGGTCTCCTGCACTACTGAAATACCTTTCTTTGCATCAATTTTTCTGAAGAAAAAGACCCATCACTCTGTATTGTGAGTGCTTGGCATATTCTGGCTCATGAGCCTGTTGCCATTTTGGAGGAAAATATATTTTTGATCCTCCATAATAAATCTTACACCAAAAGCATTTGACATCTAGATGGGAATGGTTCTCCCTTTGAGTCAATAAGAACAAACACTATTTCCATGGTCAACTCAGCTCTCAAATATTCCGCCCCTGGGGGTCTGCATTTCCTTTAGTTACTGGCTATTTGACTATAGCAGATTTCCATGCCAAGAGTTCTCCTGTGGCCCTTTAGCATTTATTTTCTCTGTCTCTATGTCCTGCATTAAGCCTAGATGAACTCATGGTCACTCTTTAAAACAGTCAAGATCTCTTTTGTGTGCAAGCTGAATGACCACATTTGAGAACTGGATTGGAGATTTCTGTTAACAGTGTCTGCAGTGGAGAGCACTCCTTGAATTAAGGAAGTAGAGCCTAAAAGATATATGATTAAGCATATAGATGTGCCACAAAAACATTGATGATAGGTAGAATTAGTCCTCTTGGATTTCGAAGACCAGATGACTGGATAAGCATTTCTGATATTTTGTCTATGTTGTGGTAGTTTTGTATTTGAAAAAGTAGGAGAATATAAAATTGTTGGTGCTTTCATGGACTGTACAGAGAAGAATCTGAACATTGTATGCCACCTGACATATAGTCAGAAGTCTGCTGATTTGTTCAGTCAAATCCAAATATTTTAGAGAGTGGTTTCACTGAGTTTGCTTATGGGAAATTAACAAGATGATAGGGTCTCCCTGAAATGGTTCTCTTTGCAAGTTGCTTCTCATTCTGTTAAACGAGGTATTTGGGGCAAGATTTTACCCTAAACTCTTGTGGCATTAGATGCCAGAAGAGCATTAAAATTCTACCTGGAAAGTGCACAAGAGATATGCAAATCCAAATCACCATTTGTGTTGTGGGTGTGTTGGAAAAAAGACCTTAGCTTCAAAATCTGTACTTTCTAAGTGAGTTCTCTGCTATACTAAGACTGAAACAGCTCTATGTGTTCAGTTAGAAATATGTCTGGCTTTTACAGTAACAGGAGGGGAAACCTATGTAGATGAAATGTATAAGACCATATTTTGACATCTATCCACATATACTCAAGTACTGCAAGTTAAATGTCTGAACATTAATGGGTGAATGCCTTTTTGAGACTGAAGGTTTTTAAGGGACATGCGATTGAATGTACAGAAAGCTTTCAGTTCTTGTGTCCATGATGTTTTAGGAGGTTAGTAGAAAGTAACCTCAGAATAGATTTTGTCAAGTCCAGATTTGAATCTGAGACTAACACAGTGACTCAGATCCAGCAATCCAGAGCCCTCTCCAAGCTCTCTTGGTTCTCCAATTACATTTGTGAACAAACCCTTTTTTTCAGTCTGCCCATTTGCTGATCCTGGTTCTTGGCTATGGAAGAATTTCCCAGGGTCTGAGTGGGAAGACTACCAAGAGTCCAAAAGCACCAATTTTTACCTCTCATTGGTTACTGTAGATTGCTGATGAGTGGAAGGTGATTTAGTCATATGGCCTAACTTGTGGATCTGAGTTTCACAAATGTAATATGCAGATAACAATCCCCTTTAATGATTTTGTATATATTACCTCGACTTCATTTTACAAACAGCTGTTAAACTTATACTCCTATTAAAATTGCTATCTCTTTGCTTTTCATCTCTGGGTGAGCAGTTCCAATTCAGTCCAGGTTGGTAATGACTAAAAGTCAGGACTGTCTGAAGGTAGTTCAGTGTGCTGTGTGAATGGAGTTGGCTTTCTTACTCTAATGCCTAGTGGACTCTGCAAAAACCACTGCCAACAGTGGTACTGCCCTTTGGTGTCTGTCTCAAAGAGGCTGTGGTTTGAAATTTGAATGAATGAATGAATTAACCCGTCTGTTCGGTACCATTGAATGGACTTTTCACTGCTACTGCCCATGCCATACTAGATGTGTTTGGCTAGAATCCCGAATCTGCCAATAATCACAAACTGGGTTCAAACTCTGTCTCAGCTCATGAAGGTCTTCCTGGATTCACAAAATATGTGCTGAGCTAAGTCAATGCAATTTGCTGTTCTGGCCTTCTAAACTCACCCCATAGCATCTACTGTTAGATGCCTTGAGGTCTCCTCTTAGCCTACCCTTACCTTTTTGCTGTCCTGACACACCCTATTCCCACTCCACCTGGTGCAAGTTGCCCTTCCCGTAGGATTTTCTGAAGGAGCAATGGAGTAATTAGGTCAGGGCCACTGTGCCCCCCCCAAACAGCAGGAATGGGGAAACACTACCGTGCCTGCTGTGGCTCCTATACTGAGCAAAGCAATGGCCACACCCCTTGTGGCTTAGTTCTTCTAGGGCAACTCTGGCTAGCAATTATGAGCTGTTCCAGCTATTATGTCATTGCCAGGGAAGCCAGTGGATTCCCTAACTTCCATTATAAGGTTTACTGGGCATCTCTGTTTTTGCATTATCTAGGATTTTGCAGGAGCGAGTGTTCCTGCTCCTTCTGCATCATTGAGATGCTAAGCTACTTCCTGTTCCACTTACTGCAGAACCTAACTAAATTTTGGGTTAAGGCATTGGCCTTTCTTTGTCCTTCCTTATAAAGTTGGAAGATGGTGAAAGAGAGACCCTCTTGAGGAGAATTCAGGGGTGAGGGTTTTCCTGTTACATGCCTCCTCTACCTTTAACAAGGTGGGCGGGAGGGAGAAATTAGGGAGGGTTTCTTGAAGCATTGGGTTTAGGATCCAAACACCAAGAATCCAGTAGTAATAGTCCCATTGCCAACCCTTGGAAATTGAGTATACATGGCCTAACTTGTATAACCCATATTATCTGAGATCTGCAGGGCATGACCTAATAAACAGAGAAATTAAATTTTCAGAGTGTCGAGTCTATCACTTTGCACAAAAAGTTAATTCTCTTTAATTTTACCCTGTTGCTCTCACACACAAAAGGAAGTCACAAAAGTGAAAGGAGAGCAAGAAACCGTAGTAAATCTGTTTGTTTGTTTTTCAAACGCAGAAACCAGACAAAAGTTTAATTTCTATTTTATCCTTTATTTATATAGGATGGAATCAACAGAAAAATGTGAAGCAGTGATTGCTCATTTTAATGGAAAATTCATTAAGACACCACCGGGAGTTTCTGGTATGTTGCTTATATTGCTATTCTGACAACATATATCAATAGATGACTGTCCTTACAGTTAAAGCATATCCTGGGGATTGTTATACCTGGTTTGTCATTCATTAAAATGTAACACTGCTTCCCTGGATAGCTAGAATATTTGCTGGTCTGGAACACAGTAATGCCACTTCTGTAGAAAATAACACCACGATTGTTTTCATTTTCACAGTAGAGCTTCACTGGGAAGCTGTGCTGTTGTGTTCCACTCTACAAAGTAGAAAAGCAGTCTTGAGCCAAATTCTGCACTAACTTACATCCTGTGTAACCCCAACTGAAGTTAATTGTATACTCATTAGAGCAGAGGTTGATTGGTGACCCATGGATCAATTAGCTGCTGTTTGTTTAAAAAAAAAAAAAAAAAAAAGTGACCTAAACTTACTGTTTTGCCATCTACCCATGCTTTTGTTTGAAGTCATTCACTTCCTGGCAAACTGGATCCCATGAGCAACATCTTTGTGGCCTGCCTACAGAAAATCCTTTTGAAGTGCATTGAATTTTTCCACTCTGGCATCAGAAACAGATTTTCAAGTTCTTGAGCAAGGGAAAAAAGAGACCCACAGAAAATGCTAGAAAAATACAAAAGAATTCAGAGTCAAAATGCATAGGAGCTCAGTGGCGAGAGACTATGCTCACACCACCTTCACTGATCTCTTGCCTGTTAAAAATATAATTACAGGGAAACATATATTCCATGAATTAAATTTAAAGTCACTCTATATAACACGGAAAGAGAATTTTATCACACAGAGCAGCAGAGTAAATTAGGAAGCAAAATGGGACAATACATGAGGAAAGAATACATGGCTAAGATTCCAGGCTTCCTTTGGTAACTATTTTACAGGGACACTCAAGAAAGAATTTGACAAGTTACAGTGTTATTGACACATTTACTGGAGTTCTCCTCCCATTGATGACACATCCGTCATGCCCAAACCTTGGCACAGAGAACACAGGAAAAGGAAAACAACAAACAGCAAAAAAATAATTTAGTTTGTTTAATAAAACTACATACATGCCTCATCCTTGAAAGATGACTCCTGCACGAGTCAGTCTGTGGTGTGGTAGGCATGGAAGGCTGCTTCTCCTTACCCAGCTTGATCTATTGCAGGGTGACATTTTGACCTGACTGCCTTTTGCAAACTCTCTGCACTGGGATGCGTTTCATAGCCTACCAAATAATAATTGCATGAAAACTGTGGACTTTAGGGTTAGGGGCTGTAACTTCCATTTTCCTGTTGACTATCTCTGCAAATATCCCATGTAGAGAATTATTTTGTGAGGTGGAAAATCCATGAGGCAGCAGGTAGATAATGGTACTATTTTCATTGAATGTTAACTGCTCTCTTGTCCCCTTTCATTTTGCTTTGTTTTATAATACTGAAATTGCTTAAAAGTCTCATGAGTAGGAGCAGACAAAGCTCTAATCCATATTTAGATATTTCTAACCAAAAGGAAAGGACTGTAGAATCTGTTCAAAACTGGCAACTGCAAAATTGTGGGAGCTCCTGCTAGTGCTTTTTAGCTTGCTCGTTTGCAGCTCTGTGTCCTACCCACGCCTGGATGGGCAGCTGTCAGCTTATCATAGCTGATCACACCCTGCCTACAGTGGGCCCTTTTGAAGCCAGAGTTACACCCTTGTGCTATCTGCTTTTACCAGGTAGAAGCAGCAAGTTATTGGGCAGAATTACATTATAGGAGTGATTTGTAGAACAAGTTGGATGGGGGCACACACTGTGTAAATGTGACTATCCGGGGACAGTAAGATGCACTCATTGTTAATACTACAAATACTTAGCATTACACTGCTCGTTATTCAAATAAGTAGGTGAGGAAGGACATCACTGAGAGAAGCTACATCATTAAAAGCTCAGTGGTGCTACCATGTAGGCACAGCCTGGAGTTGTGGGTGGTGAGAAGCTGCCCTGTCCTTTGAGGAGGATTTCTGTGGCGGTAGAATTGCTCTTAATGCTCCCTGACACAGGCGGAGTTCTTGATATACAGTAACTCCTCACTTAACGTTGTAGTTATGTTCCTGAAAAATGCTACTTTAAGCGAAACAATGTTAAGCGAATCCAATTTCCCCGTAAGAATTAATGTAAATAGAGGGGATTAGGTTCCAGGGGGAAATTTTTCAACAGACAAAAGACTGCATGTATGTGTATATGTATACACACACAGTATAAGTTTTAAACAAACTATTTAATACTGTACCCAGCAATGATGATTGTGAAGCTTGCTGAGGTGGTGGAGTCAGAGGGTGCAAGAGGGTGGGATATTTCCCAGGGAATGCCTTACTGCTAAATGATGAACTAGCACTTGGCTGAGCCCTCAAGAGTTAACACGTTGTTGTTAATGTAGCCTTGCACTCTACAAGGCAGCACGAATGGAGGGAGGTGACAGCGTGGCAGAGAGAGACAGACACATACTGTGTGTGTGTGTGAGAGAGAGAGAGAGAGATACACCGTGTGTGTGTGAGAGAGAGACGTGCATTGCCCCTTTAAGTACGCTGACCCCACTCTAAGTACACTGCCTTTTTAAGTAGATCAGCAAGTTGAGACAGCAGCTGCTGCCAGCAAGCTCCCTCCTTCCTGAGCCCCCCTCTGTGGAGATGAGGTACAGGAGTGGGGGGAGGGGGTACCCCTCTTCCCCCTCCCACCCCTGCACAGCAAGCAGGAGGCTCCCAGGAGCAGCTCCAAGGCAAAGGGCAGGAGCAGCACATGGCAGCGGGGGGAGGGACAGCTGAACTGCCAGCAATTGATAGCCTGCTGGGCAGCTGCCGCACAGGGAACTTAGCGGAGTTGGTGAGGGACTGCTGGTCCTCCCTGGTTCCAAGTCCCCACCAGATAGCTCCAACGGGCTGCTCTTTCTGCAACCAGTGGACAAACCAGGCGGCTGCCAAACAATGTTATAAGGGAGCATTGCTCAACTTTACACAAGCATGTTCTCTAATTGATCAGCGACGCGGGACGACATTGAGTGAGGAGTTACTGTAGTCCTGCAGGAGGTACAGCTGATTCCCCACCCTGCACTGCAGTCTGACACAGAAGGGGACTAGGCCATGGGGCAGCTTCCTGGCCCTTAGCAGGCCATGCAAAGGCAGTGGAGAAGGCTCACACCCATGTAAGCTCCAGGCACAGTCTGCTCCTAAATGGATAGTGAGAGGGTAAAGTTGTACAAAGTAGATGATTATCCTTTGGGGGAGTGAGAAGGGAGCAAGTTTAGAGCCATACAAAATGAAACTGCAGAAGTAGAACTGCATGTTTAAACTGAAACACTGTGTACTAAAAACTTGGCTAAAATCAGCAAACGGAGCTGGATATTTAAACACTGTTTCCAGGATGGAGAGTGTAGGAGAGGAGGATTGTGATGAAATAGGTGTAGGAGGAAGAACATCTCTTTTAGTCAAAATAACAAAGATTGGATTTAAATGAAAGAAGTTATAGGAAACAGAGCTGGACCTCCTGGGCAGCATGAGAAGACAGATCAGGAAACCTTAATGCAAAGTGCCCTGTAAAGGCAAAAATAATGAATGCGGCTCAAGTATGTATCCTGACAGTGGAACTTCTAAGGGAGGTGCAGGATAGAACTATTTCCTTACGCAGACTATTAAACAATCAACAGTTACAAGTGCCCAACCCTGAGAGTTAACCAAGATTAATATTAAGCTGGTTCTTTACCCAAATACCTATATCCTATATTAAGTGCAAACTCACTCCCTCACCCCAATATTGATGTGGTGTCAAGATTACAAAGGGTTGTTTTGGTTTGGGGTTTTTTAAGTCATGCAAAAAGATAAGGCTCAAAGATCAATGTTAAATCAACCTTGTTATAAATCCACAGTAGTACCTACTATCTCTTGAAGCATTTCTAATGTGCCGAACACTAAAGTATGATTTCTTTTAACAATTGTTTCTTTTCCTGGGATTTTGTTAACTATGTTAGATGAATATTTCTCTCTCATTTTATGCCATAAAATGAGATGTGCCATGACTCATGTAACATTACTGGGAGAGCCTTAACTTTTGCATATGCTGCCTTTTTAACTTTACCTGTGCAATTAGTTAGTTTTGATATTACCTTAACATAACTTGCATTTAATTTCCTTTTTCTTTTTTAAGAAAAGTAATTGTCTTTACTGAAGAATGGAGTGTTTAAAGGTTCTCAAGCTTTCAGTGAAATCTGAATGTCACTGAAGTGAATTGTGTCACTGAAGTGAATTTACATTTAGGAAATGAATCCCATAGCACTGTGACTTTCCCTGCAGAAATGATTGTGTTGTTTTTTTTCCTCGGTTTTGGATTTTTCTTTCATATCACGTAAAATATTTGGGCTTTGGCAGATTGAGGTATGGACCCCTCTGTATCTCCATTGTGGTCAATTAACAGAATTTGGCCCAAATATTCAAGATGGTCGGTAGTTAGAGCAGCTCCTTTAAAGTTATAGTTATGCTCTGGCTGGAAGAATTGGGTTGCATGAGTGTAACTGAAGGCAGATTTTGGTCCATTGAGTTTAAAGTAACTTTCTATGGTTTTAAAAAGGGTGCCTAAGTTTTATTTAAAAATATTAAGTCCAATTTAATTCATATTCTGATTAATTAGCAAAATGGGAGTTTACATGGATTAGTTTCTATAATTTGTGGTGTGTTCCAGCTTCTGCCAACCAGTACTAGCTATTTTTTAGGTGGCATTGACCAACTGCAGATCTCCAGTGAAGTGAGCATTGCATGTACCTTGCACAACTACAACACACACAGCTGACTTTTACAAGTTTCACTATCTGCCATCATAGTCAATCTGGCCCATTATCCAAATTTAACCCAAGTTAACTTAAATTGTGTTTTAAATTTAATCTTTCATCAGTGATCTGGAATGTAAGTGTGTCTATGTGTGCATCAGAACTCAAGTGTCTGAATGTCTTCTCCACAACAACTCATGAAAGCAAATCCCAGACATTTTTTGTGT